ATATTTATTGATGCATAATAGAGGCACATAGTTTTGAAATACATGTGATAATCTAATATATTCATATAATAAAGATCAAATCAGTGTACTTGGGATATCCATCGCCAGAAATATTCGTCTTTTCTGTATGCTAGAAACATAACTAACATACGCAAACTACTCTGGAATGTACAGTACATATTGTATGTTATAGTGAGACCCCAGATCTATCAAGTGCTAGGTTTTATTTCTACTATCAAACCTCATATTTGTACCCGTTAATCAGCTTCTCCTCATCCCTTCCTCCCCTCTACCAGTCTACCTTCTATTTTCATGAGACCCACTTTTTCAGGTCTCGCATGTGAGTGAGAACATGTGATATGTGTCTTTCTGTGCTTGGCTTATTTACTTACCACAGTGATCCCCAGTTCCATCCATGTTGCCACAAATGACAGAATTTCAGTCTTTTTAACGGTGCATAATATACACACCAGATTTTCTTTATCCATTCATCAGTGAATGAGAACTTAGGTTGATTCCATCATTTGGCTCTTGTGAATAGTGCCACAATAAACACAGGAGTATAGATACCTCTTCAATAGATTGATTTTCTTTCTTTGGGATAGAAATTTCTTCTCTTTCTTTTCAGTAGTGGAATTTCTCAGTTTTATGGTAGTTCTAGTTTAGTTTCTTGAGGAACCTCTGAGCTGTTCTCTACAGTGGCGGTACTAACTTATAGTCCCACCAACAGTGTGAGAGCCCCCTGTCTCCACATCCTCACTGGCATCCATCATTGCCTGTCTTTTTGATGAAAGTCATTTTAACTGGGATGAGATGATAACTCATTGTGGTTTGGATTTGCATTTCTCTGGCGATTAATGACATTGAGCATTTTTCCCATCTACCTCTTTGCCATTTGTATGCCTTCTTTTAAGAAATGTCTATTCAGATCTTTTGACCATTTTTAAATCAGGTTTTTTTTCCTATTGACTTGTCAGAGCTGCTTATGTATTCTGGCTATTATCTGCTTGTCAGATGGGTAATTTGCGAATGTTTTCTGCCATTCTGTGGGTTGATTCTTCACTTTCTTGATTGTTCCCTTTGCTGTGCAGAAGCTTTTTCGCTTGATATAATTTCACTTCTCTATTGCCTGTGCTTTTAAGGTTTTTCACAGAAAATCTTTGCCCTGACCCATGTCCCAGAGTATAAAACCAAGATTTCAAGCAAAATTATGCGAGTGGTTAAAAGCAAAGGCCCAGAACACTTAATGATAAAAATGAGCTTCCTTATTAAGCTCCACCTTAGCGGTGACTATGGGCAACAGTTTCCTGTGTATTCTTCCAGGAAATGGCTATCCCGATGCCCACATTTATATGAGCCCATACTGTGATATTTATTTATATGAACACGCACTGCGCTTTTCCTTGTAAATGAAAGTACATAAAATAGACACAGGTCAGTACATTATCTCTGAGATCCTTTGCTTTCCTTAAAATATAAATTTTGAAAAACGAGTTTGCTTTTAAATGTGTTATTTATCTTTAATTGACAAGTTTTAATTATATATGTATTAGAGGTACAGTATGATGTTATGATGCATGTATACAACCTGAAATTATTAAATCAAGGTAATGAACAAATCCATCACTTCATATATTTATCCTCTTTGTGTTGAGAACATTTGAAATGTACTCTCTCAGCAATTTCAACTAATACAATACATTGTTCACTAAAGGCGCCACGCTGTGCAGCAGGTCTCAAAAACGTATCCGTCTTGTCTAACTGAAGCTTCTGCCCTTTGACCCTTTGACCATCATCTCACCCTTCCCTGTCCCTCCCCTAGCCCTGGCCTCTGGTAACCACCATTCTACTCCTATTTCTATGAGCTCGACTATTTTAGGTCCCAAGATAAGTAAGATCACGTGTGTTTGTCTTTCCGCACCTGGATTACTCCACTTAGCGTAAGTTCCTCCAGGTTCTTCCGTGTTGTGGCAAATGAGACAATTTTATCTTTTTAAAAGGCTAAATGGTATTCCATTGTGTGTTTATATATGTCATATGGAAAAAGAGCATTAAATTCCAAAACCAATGATAAAAGAGAGTTCTTCTTGCACCAAATGAGACATTACAGATAAGACTGGGGTTTTCCTTGACAATCCTGCCACCCCACCCAATCCTCTCTCATTCTCCAAAGGTGTCTCTAAGCCATAAATTTATCTATGTATCTATCTATCTATCTATCTATCATCTCTATCACCTATGATAGATACATATGATTATGTATCTTTCATCTGTTATCTATTTATCTACTATTATCTATGTTTCTATGTCTACCTATTATCTATGTGTTTATGTATCTATGTATCTTTATATCTCTATATCAGCTATCTATCATCTTTCAATCAATCAATCACCTATCTCTGCATCATTTATGAATCACTCATTTTTATAAATATATTTCCATATATTTTCTGCTCTTTTACACGTACATATGTATATGCTTGTAACTTTTTTTCACTCAACAGGGTGCCTTAATGCTGTTTTTTTCTGAGTGCTGTATATTTTATTCCATATTTTATTCAGCTCATTTCTACATTGAAGAGGACATTAAATGTTTTTAATTATAGTAGATATTTACAATTTGCCTTCCAGAGTGTCTGTACTGATTTACCTGCTAGTTTGTGGTATGTGATGAGATTAATGATCCCTATTTCCTTCTTTTGTTTAGCTGTGTAGTATTCCATTGTGTGGGTGTTTACCTAAACATTTTTCCACTAATGTATATTTGTCTTGTCCCCAAATTTTTGCTAAACTGGACACAATGCAGTCAGCCTGTGTGTACACTGAATCATTCCTTACATGTATAAGCATCTCTGCAGGACAAATTTCCTGAAGTGCAATTGCTGAATCTAAGACCATTTGCACTGTACAATTTTTTTTTAGACAGAAATTTCACTCTTGTTGCCCAGGCTGGAGTGCAATGGCATGAGCTCAGCTTACTGCAGACTTCACCTCCCAGGTTCAAGTGATTCTCCCACCTCAGCCTCCCGAGCAGCTGGGATTACGGGCACCCACCATCATGCCCAGCTAATTTTTTGTATTTTTTTTTTTAGTAAAGATGGGGTTTCACCATGTTGCCCAGGCTGGTCTTGAAATCCTGACCTCAGGCAATCTGTCTGCCTCAGCCTCCCAAAGTGCTGAGTTTACAGGCATGAGCCACCATACAAGACGACTGCAAATCCTTTACTATTAGTTGAGTTTTATGGCAAAACTTTCCCATAACTTTGCTGATAGTACTATTGCATTATTGAATTTTAAATCTTGGCCAATCTTCATATTTCTTCTTTTGATGGATATTTTAAAAAACAAGAGCGAGGCTGAACATCTCGATGTTATTTGCTTTCTTTTTACGGAGCTGGATTTCTTACTATTTTTGCTCTTTTTCTTTGGATTCTTGAAAAGCATTTACTTTTAAGAATGTGTATTAAAATTAATTTTTTTCTGTCCTATGTTGCAAGATATTGCCTCTTAATTTTTGGAGGGCACTTTGGATTAATTTCTATGAAGTTAAATTGGTCCACATTTTTCTTTCAGAACTGTAAAATCCATGCATTTCCCAGGATTTTGTTTGGGGGACGTGGGGACTCCTTCACCAAATGTGAAGTTTTTACTTACTCTCATGTCTCTTTCTGAGCTCTCCCTTCTGCTCCATGGGTCTATTTTCTTGTTTTTGCAATATTGCCACACTGTTTTTATCATTCCTGTGACTTTGTAGCAATTCTTTTAAAAAGTTAAAAAGAAAAGAAAAGAAAAGGTCTCACTTGCACACAGAGAAGCTGTAGAATTGTGTTTTTGCTCCCTCGATAATGACTGGGGCTGGGGTGTTTCCTTAGGGATGACCTGGCGCAGCTGCCCTTCCTGACCAGGTGCGTGAAGGAGAGCCTGCGGTTACATCCCCCAGTCCCTGCCGTCTCCCGCCGCTGCACCCAAGACATTGCTCTCCCAGACGGCCGGGTCATCCCCAAAGGTGCGCACAGCCTCGGGGGGAGGAGACTCCTGGGTAGGAAGACGGGCCCCTCAGGCAGGGGGGCCTTGTCCCAACTGCCCCTTCTCTCCCACAGGCGTTATCTGCCTCATCAGTGTTTTCGGAACCCATCACAACCCAGCTGTGTGGCCGGACCCCGAGGTGCTCCCCGCTCCCTCCCCCCTCCCTCTGTTTTTGTCCATTTCAAGGCTCCTAGAGGAGGGGGCAGGGTTTTGATCAGGAGAATCCGACATCACCTCCTCCCAAGACACACACAACTGTCTGTCTCCCCAAGGCTGGCGGTCCTGGGAGACCCCACCCAGCAAGCCTTCTTGGTCTCACCTCCAGGTCTACGACCCCTTCCGCTTCGACCCGGAGAACAGCAAGGAGAGGTCACCTCTGGCTTTTATTCCCTTCTCGGCAGGGCCCAGGTAAGGGCGGCCTGTGTCTGAGGTGGGGACAGGGTGATGGGTACGGGGGTCTGGGCATGACAGTGGGGAAAAGGAGGACATTGTAGATGATCCGAGTTCCAGCTCTCCTTCCCTCCCCTCCTCTGGAGTTTACGGGAAGAGGTCCACAGAATAGGGTTGGGTTGGTGCTAGAAGGATCCCTGGTGTGCTCAGGGCACTCTCACACCCAATCCTTGGTCTAGGCTGTGGGCTGGATCTGGGCTAGGACCGCAGGATATGCAAGCCCACATGGGACTCCAGGCACGGATGCCCACTTTCTCTGTCCCTCAGGCTGACCTGGTCGGGGCTGGGTGTCCCAGCCCAGGTTCCCAGCTTGATGGGGCCAGGATGGGGTTCTGCCAGGTTGCAGTCAGAGTTCCCACCTCCCTCCCCTAGGAACTGCATCGGGCAGGCATTCGCGATGGCGGAGATGAAGGTGGTGCTGGCGCTCACGCTGCTGCGCTTCCGCGTCCTGCTGGACCACACCAAGCCCCGCAGGAAGCCGGAGCTGATCATGCGTGCAGAGGACGGACTTTGGCTGCGTGTGGAGCCCCGGAGCTGAGGTCTGCAGAGACCTACTCTACCCTTCCTAAAATGACCCCTGATTCATCAAAAATGAGGCATAGAATTACCATATGACTCTATTCCGCTGTAAAGCTTTCCATCCTAGATATATACTCAAAATAATTGAGAAAGGTGTTCAAACAAAAAGACGCTTGTGCGTGAATGTTCATGGCAGCCCTATTCACAGTAGCCAAGTGATGAAAGCAACCCCAATGTATATATTACCAGATGAAAGCATAAACAAAGTGTGGCCAATCCATACAATGGAATATTACACAGCCATAAAAAGGAATGAAGCACAGATCCATACTCTGTGGTGAACCTTGAATACATGATACTGAATGAAAGACATCGGATGCAAAAGGTCACATAGTGTATGATTCTTTTATCTAAAATTTCCAGAACAGGCCAATGTGAAGAGATGTAAAGCAGATTCATGGCTTTCAGGAGCTGTGGGGAGGTGGGACTGAGGAGGACCTGCTAATCAGGACAGGATTTCCTCCTGGGATGGTAAAAATTCTCCAGACCCATATAGTGATGAAGGGAGCATGACATTGTGAGTGCACTAAATGCTATTGAACTGGACACTTTAAAATGGTTGAAATGGTGAATTTTATCTTATGTGAATTCTACCTAAAAATGGTGTAATAACTCATATATATTTTTTCCATCTGGATTATTCACACAGGAATATGTTGTGAGCATCTTTCCATGACATTAAATCATCTTAGGAAACATTATTTTGTGTTTTTTTAAATATGCATGTTAAGCATTCAAATCAGTCTTAAATTTTTAAAAACACAAAATGTTAGAAAATAATTTTAAAAGGTTTTGCCTCTGTTTGTAAGAATTGTTTCCATGCACATTAATGACTTGAGATATTATCAGTTACAAATCGAGTTATTCTTCATCAAAGGACTTTTGGGGTGGAGATTTTATTTTTATAGCTATAATAGATGCACAAATATTCCTATAAGATACAGGTGTGGTTAGAGACTTTTCTAGAACAGGTATGCCCTACAAACTCCACGGACACTGACTGTTTTGGTCCTATTAACAAGTAGACCACTGAAAAGGGAGAAGGTGACATTTTAGCTTCCCCAGATAAATGTTATTTTCATGTTCACACTCATCTTATGGAGTGGATGTTAACTCTCTTGCTCAAGGTCACTCAGTGAGTGGCAGAGTGGGGATAAATCTGGTCCATTTGGCATGAGAGGTCATGCCTTATCCTACCACAGAAGTGATTTTCAGAGTGAACCTTAGCCCTAGGCCCATGAGATCAACTGGGAGCCACTCCAGAGTGAGTAGATGAGACTTTGACAGGGGTGCCTAAATTTTTAAATGTAATACCGTTGACAGGAAATACATTCACTCATGCAAAAAGTTAAATGCACAGTGACAGTATTGGTGAAGTGTTGGTGCTACACATATCCTTCCTCTGCCCGGTTTCTCCCTCTTTCTAAAGGTAAACACTTTTACTCTTTGGGTACCCTTTCTAGCCTGGCGACAGAGTGAGATTCGGTCTCAAAAAAGCAAAAAACAAAACCCATACTGTTTCCAAAGCATCTGCGTTGTGTTTAATTTCCATAAGTAATGTATGAGAATTCTAGGTCCTCTAAATAATTAGCAGCGCTTAGTAGTGTCAGTTTTGCTTCCAGCCTTCCTTATGGGTATGCTGTGGCATATCCCTGAGATTTTAATTCGCATTTCCCAATGACTAATGGCATTGAACCATTCGTGCCTTCATGTACCTATTTGACATGACTATATTTTCTTTGGCGAAGTGTCTGTTCAAATAATCTGCCTGTTAATTTTTCCTTGGGTTGTTTGCCTTCTTATTGTTGGAGTTTGAGTGTTCTTTATAGATTTTATGCACAAGTCAGATGTGTGATTTACAAGTATTTGTCAGCTGTGTGATTTACATGTCTTTTTCCTAGACTCTGAAGTTTCTTTCCTAGAGAAAACATTTTGAATTGTTTTGAGGTAATACTTACCAATTTTACTTTTTTATGAATTATGTTTACACTGCCATATATAGGAACTCTTTGCTTAACTGGAGTTTATGGAGATTTTTCTCCTACATTTTCTTTTAAAACTTTTATAGTTTTAGATTTTACATGTAATTCTATGATCAAAATTTATTTAGGTAAATTTTGTATGGGGTGTGAACTATGGTTTGACTGTTTTTTTAAAAAAAATAGATATCCAATTGTTCCATACAATTTTTTTGGAAAGAGTATCCTTTTTGCATTAACTTGCCTTGCAGGTTTGTAGATCACTCAATTGTTTAAATTTGGGTGCATATATTTCTGGATTTTCTATTCTGTTTCATGCTGGCCCAATACCACACTGCCCTGGTCACTGTAGCATTACAGTATGTCCAGTAGCCCTGGTCACTGTAGCATTACAGTATGTACATATTCCTATAAAGGAATAATGGGAATCCTTCAACTATATTTTTTTCCAAATAATTTTTGGCTATTCTGCATCCTTTGTGTTTTTATGAAAATTTTATGATCAGTGTGTCTATTTCTACAAATAGTCCTGATAGGATTTTAATTGAGATTTATGTGAATCTATAGATCAATCTGAGAAGACTTAACAATGATATTGATTCTTCCAGTTCATGAATATAGTATACCCTGCCTTTATTTTCTTCTTGGATTTCTTTCTTTCTTTCTTTCTTTTTTTTTGAGACAGAGTTTCACTCTTGTTACCCAGGCTGGAGTGCAATGGCACGATCTTGGCTCACCGCAGCCTCCACCGACTACAGGCATGTGCCACCATGCCCAGCTAATTTTTGTATTTTTAGTAGAAACGGGGTTTCACCATGTTGACCAGGATGGTCTTTAACTCCTGACCTCAGGTGATCCACCCACCTCGGCCTCCCAAAGTGCTAGGATTACAGGTGTGAGCCACTGTGCCCAGCCATCACTGAGAGACTCTAACGGTCCACATGAGGCTATGTTCTTGCTCCTGTGTTCCTGTCTTTAATCTATCATTAAGTAATAATGGCACACACATGCTTAGGGCTGACCATGTGTCTGGGAGCATTGTTGTAAACACTTTACTCATTTTTTTTTTCTTTTGAGATGGAGTCTCGCTCTGTTGCCCAGGCTGGAGTGCAGTGGCATGATCTCAGCTCACTGCAACCTCCACCTCCAGGGTTCAAGCGATTCTCCTGCCTCAGCCTTCTGAGTAGCTGGGACGACAGACATATGCCGCCATGCCTGGCTAATTTTTTGTATTTTAGTAGAGATGGGGTTTCACTGTGTTGCCCAGGCTCCTGAGCTCAGGCAATCTACCTGCCTCTGCCTCCCAAAGTGCTAGAATTACAAACGTAAGCCACGGTGCCTGGCCAACACTTTGCTAATTTTAACTCACTTAATTTTCATGATAACCTTGTTATTACCCCCAGTTTTCGGGTGAGAAGACTGAGACATAGAGAGGTAAAGAGACTGGCTCAAATTCCCATCGCTGGTTGAGAGCTGAACCATGCAGCCTGCACCTGGAGTCCCTGTTCTTCACCAGGCTGCTGTCAGAGCCACCATCAGAGCCCCCACTCCTGTTCCAGGTCTGACCCTTGCAGTGCAGGCAGCACATTCTGGAGAAATCATGCCCTTAGGAGCATCCCTGAGTAATGACTGTTGGGTATCAGTAGATAAGTAATGCAGCTCCCTCCCTGTGGATGGGATGACTCCCAGCTACTCGGGAGGCTGAGACATGAGAATTGCTTGAATCTGGGAGGTGGAGGTTGCAGTGAGCCAAGATCGCACCGTTGCACTCCAACATGGGTGACAGAGCAAGACTCCATCTCAAAAAAAACAAAAAACAAAAAACAAAAAAACAGAATCCCATCCTTTTTGCCCCTTTTCAGCGATGTTCTTGAGGTCCCCTTTCTTGGTTTCGAAGTGGTTCATTTTTCTGGGGTAATACCCGAGGTTCGTTGCCCCATGCCAAGGAAATCAAGGACATGGACACACACATGGAGTGAGTTTAAGAGCGGAGGTTTAATAGGAAAAAGAAAGACAAAAGGAGAACAGTTCTGTCTCCTGTGAGAGAGGGAGCACCGGAATGGGAATTCCTGCTCGTCCTGGAGTGCCAGTGCAGGGGATTTTATATACTGGCTTGAGGAGGAGGTGTCTGATTTACATAGGGCCCCAAAATTGATTGGACCAGGTGTGACCTTTACAAAGCACGGGAGGAAGCTGGCTGCCCCATTCTAATCTGTTATGCAAATGGACTTCCCACTTGGCCTGCGCCATGTTGTCTGCTCCCTACCGGGCATGTGGTTGTCGAGGGAAAGGGAGGATGGAGCCACCATGTTGGACATGCCTAGTCTCCAGGTTGCCCCTTTCCTGTTGGCACAGCTGCCGGTATTCACCCTTGCAAGCTTCAAGCCTGCCTATGTCTGCCGCTTG